AAAAACAGTAATCGGAGTCCTGGTGTGGCGCTGTGTGCTAATGCATCAGACTGCAAAGTCGTTTGAACTGCAATGTCAATAGTTCAAGCTCACCAGCTGCTCCTTGGAAACCCTATACAGGGTTGCTATGGGTCGGAATTGACTCTACAGCACTTAACAACAACAACATGAGAGTAATCACCAAACTTGTAACAATGATTCCTTCTGGAAGATACCTGGATCCCTAAGAGACAAGATCAGCAGTTTGAAACTACCAGCTGTTCCCCCTGTGGGGAGAAAGATGAGGTTTTCTGCTCCTGAAAAGATTCACAGCCTAGGAAACCCTACATAGGATTGGAACTGATTTCCCAGCATATAATCACTACCACCATTGATATTTTTACGTAAAAGTTTAATTTTGTACCATGTATAACTATTTAATTATACAAATAAAATCATTTAAAATAAAAAAAGAAAATGTATATTTCAGACATAATTATAATGCTAGGTTAAAAATAAACTAATCAAGTCAATTTGTTGTGTTGTATTTTTGTTTTTGTTTTAAATAAACTTTGCTTCATCTCAGAATTACCAAAGAACAGTTGCCCTCATTGTTGCCATTCTGGATCTACTTTATAGCTCTTAATTTCTGCCTTGCCTCTTTATCTTTTCCTGGACTCACTCACAGATAGCTTTCTTTTTTAACTACACCAAACTGTATTTTGATGGAATAGCTTATATGTTTTTCTTTTCCAAAGCTCTTATTTTGTTTATTGTGTTTTTTATGTTAGGAAAATAATGGAAAAGGAAACGTGACCAAAGTAGCATTTGATTTCAGGGCCAATAAACTGATATATGTTCCACCCAAATATTTGTGAATATGGCATATGTAGGTACATATACACATTTTATCTTCCAAGGATGCACAACATTTGTTTTTATATTTTAAGAATATAATCCTACATATTTCAAAAATACCGTTGCAAAGATCCTTTAAAAATCACAAAGCTTTCTGTGGAAGCTCTTGAGTCAGACTGAATTAGCTTGAGTGAGCTATTTAACCTTCCTGCCACTCAGTTTTCTCATCTGTGAATAGGACCACTGAAATAATTTTTCATACACTGTCATTTTAGAACCACTGGGAAATAATAAAACTTTCTATTTCATTTTAAAAGTGCTCGGTGTAGGAGATGGAACCAGCAACTTTCAAGTAGGGTAGGAACATGAAGTGGTGGGAGGAGTGAAGCAGTTATTCTAAGACAAAGGTATGTAACAAGAGATAAGTCAGTTTCAAGAGAGAGATGTTTCAGCATCCTAAACTGACAGAAGTCACCATTCCAGTCCAGAGTAATCAGTAGGATGCAACAAATGAACTGGACTATCAAAACAAAAACTGTCAATTAAAAAACACATACATTCTTGTAAACCTTACTTCAATTTAAAAAAAAATGTTTTTATTACCTACTCTGGAAGTAATAACCCATCTCCCTTTCTAAAATAGTGAAATACTCATTGGTAGAGAAGAGAACCAAAACAACTCAAGCAAGGGAAGGTATTTTTGCTTTCAATTCACAAGTATATATTAAAAAGGTAAAAAGTCATTTTGATTTCTGTACGAGATTATTATAATCAAACATTTATGAAGAAAGAACTTTCATATAAAGGAAAGTTTCTTTCAAACCAGCTAAACAAAAATAAACAAGTATCCAAATTGAAATTGTTTTACAAAGTTTAAAGTGTAAAATAAGAAGTTTAGACTAATTTTTGCAAGAGGAATTCTGATGCAATTGGTCAGTTTCCACAGTAGTAAAATGACAGTTTGAGACTAGATGATTTCTAAAGTTCTACCAGCTCAAATTCTAAAATTGGATTATATACAAATTCCTCAAACTTTGAATTAAATATACTAAGTTGTTCAAAAACTATTAAATTTATTCTGATCATCCAAAATGTTGTAAGTGAGAGCTGGATCCTATAAACAGTTCAGCTGTACTTCCTACTTAGCATGTGCTCTGAACAAATGAAGAACAAAATAGCATTTTCTCTTACTTTCACTATTCATATTAATAGCATGTAACAGTTTCACACAGAAGAGTTATAAAGGCTCTAAAGTTAAGAGTAAGCCCTGGACTAGTCCACAGTACAAACCCACTAACCGTTCTTGGAAACCCTACAAACCCCATGAGCCCAGAACTGACTCCATAGCACATAACAAGAGCAATATAGAAAATCTCATGAAAATAAGAGACACAGGTGATTATCACGGCAAACATAACTCACTGATGACTAATCTTAACTTTGGAAATATTTAAATTTAACTGAATATATTGAGATATTTACATACCATGAAAAACAGGCAGAACAGTCTAAATATCACTCTTATGGTAAAATTGGAAAAATCTTTCCATGGTACTCTTCCCTAGTAATTCTGCCATTCTTACTCTATGCATTTCAGATTTTTCATGTATAGTCAGAAGGCTGCACTACGCAGAAGGGGGCAAGATTTTTATCTCTGCTGAAATGAAATCTGGCATCAAGAAGCTTATCATAATGACATCTTACAGAGAACACGCATTTCTCAATGTAAGATGATTTTGTGCAGTAAAGAGCAAAAACTAAAGGAAGTTTGCTTCCTTAGAAAGATTCTCCGCAATAATAAACTTTAATGTTAAGTTAAGGGGCCAACAAATCTTATACTTTAAAGTCAGATAAACCAAGTACAAGTGTCTAGAAAAAAAATTGCTTCTATATGAAAAAGAAGTAGTCTTAAAACTTAAGTAGCATTATGAAGCTTGGAAAACTGAAAAGAAAAAAATGGGAGAATCAAAATGTAAAATGTTTATCATTAATAACTCATACCTTTCAGGTTGACTCTCCTGTTGTACTTGCTATTTTTACAGACCAGGTCTGATCAAGAACTCTACCTTTAAGAGCTCTACTTTTTTTTTTTTTTTTTT